CCACTCCTCCCCATCTACACCCCTTTAATCGACAAATACAACAATATTTTTGCAAATATCGCAGAGCGTTTCATTCTGCGCGTTAATTTAATGCCTTTTCCTAAGTATCGGACGTGCCCGGAAACTAAAAAAAAAGAAGAATGTATTAAAGTGCATCTGACAATATTAGTGAGCACTCAAGCTTTATTACATGGATATTCATTTTCACTCAAGAGTCCATGATTATTCGTCTATTTTTCGTATCCACAGACTATTGTAACAATCATTGTGTTACGCCAGGACATAATTCCTTTATAAAAATTTACGACGGAAAGAGAAATATAAATTACATTACGTGACTGAAATCAATGAATACATTTTTCATCGAAATAATACTAATTTTCATTTATAGGTAATTGCGCAAAAATTGTTATATATTACGTCGGATATTACATTGAATAGGATTTAGAAATTTCGAGGACCTAACGAAAACCTAAATTTTATAAATTTATATAGCTAACGATGTTAAACATGTCTTTCTACGTTTTACAAGCTCAATATCATAAAATTATTCGCCTACATTTCATATTGCTTATATTCTAGTAGAAATAGTATCCCACGGGAAGGAAGAAGAATATTGACAGAAGATTTTCCAAAGTCAAGATTGACAATAAAGAACGTGGACTAGGCTTGTCCCCTTTTTCGATTATCTTTTTCTAACTCAACGTCATCGATGACCAAGTACGAGCAGCAACGTTAATTGCAAGTTCAATCGCAATTACGAGGCTTAACCACACGTCAATCTCGTGTAGCGCAAACGTAAGACTTTGCGTTTCATTTATGATTCAGAAAATCAATAAAAGAACGTAAAAGTTGGAGCCTTTAATGTCTCGTCAAAAAGAAAGGCTTTTCCGGGCTAAGCAATATAATAGCCAGCAGCTCTTGAGTAGGCGTGAATAGGAGAGAGAGAGAGAGAGAGAGAGAGAGAGAGAGAGAGAGAGAGAGAGACAGAGAGTCGAGTCGAGTCGGTTCGCGTTGAGTTGAAAGGGACAGCAGTCACAAAGCCAATTAACCCTGCACACTACATTTTTCCATTCCCTTCAGCATAAAAGAATCTGTAAACCTTGCCGATCTCATTAAGGTTGGTGCGCGGATGGGGCCTCATTAGTCGCCGTAACCTCTTCTTCTTGTGGATGTCGCCGATGGATGCAGGTACCTAATAACCCATGTCCTCCTCGTCCGCCCATAAGCCGCCTCGCCTATCAAGAGTTATTGTTATCTCATTCCGCTTTATTATTAGCATAGTGAGCAGTGGTTGCGATCGCTTCTACTCTCTATACTATCCGATATTGCTCTCGGTCTTCGTTCTCCGCCGTATCTCGTCTCTTTCCCCTTCAATCAAGTTACTTTCCAATCCAGTCCCTTGATCCTTCACGGTATACACGGATTTTGTAAATCCTAATGTCACTCGAAGATGTAACTAGGGTCTAAGAGAAATTCAGAAATTCATAGGTTTTTTATACCATCGACTTTTATACGACCATTGGCGTCCTCATCCTCGAGTCTAAAACAATAATATATATATATATATATATATATATATTGTCCAAGTAATTTTCAGAATGGCACTGTGGCATAACCTTATCCCCCGCCGCGCGACGAAAAGCTTATCCACGTTGCATTAAAATTCCTCATCCATTCAAAATACAGCCGTTTTACGGTTTCGTTCTATCGACTTATATCACACGTTTTGGCTAAATAGACAAGATTTATAATAAATGAAAAGATAAGGAGAAACTTATATCTTCTTTCTAACTTCATTTCTTCTACTTTATATATATATATATATATATATATATATATATATATATTGGTTTTTATTTTTGTTTTTTTTTTATTATCAACTCTCATATAAGCAGGGCGTGGATATTCCATTTCGTATCGAGATTATTGCGATAAGGCCGATTAGAATAGCAAAAGAAATGCATAGAGATTGGTAGGTCGAGCGAGCGAGCTCAGCCAGAGGAGGATTCGTCAGGAAAATCTGAGGAAACCTCAGGTTCCAGTCCAGTAAAGCCACATAATTTACTCGACGCTTCCTCATTTTTACATAATTTTGGTCACTCCACGTTCACTAAATATGTTATAATGTGGTTTAGTACACAAGCCGCATAAATTTATAACAACTTGATTGTGCGAGCCCGTTACGAGAATATCTATCAGAATTACATGCAATACATGAGAGATGCGAGATGAATATCGCTCAAACAAATTATTAACAGTGATTTGTAAAATTTATTTACATAGGCATTATGGATTATCGAAAGCGTTTGACGTATCAATTAATAAGATTAGCGATACTTGGAGTGGCTAAAATGACGCTTATAAATACAATTTTCACGCGTGTGTAATAAAGTTTTATTCCTTTTCTATTTGTTCGTTTTAAATAAAATATAATGTGTTTGATTAATCGTATGACTGCCAGTTAAAATGACAGTGTCGATGAAGCCGTCGTAATGGTGGCATAATATTTACTTTTTGGAAGAAAAATAAACAACGAGCGATTACGAATCAGCACGAGAGTCACGCAAGTCCAACCTTATTAATCTAAATTACTACACAAATAATATCAAATGTACAATTTAACATGAATATATATATATATATATATATATTAGGAGTAATCGATACTCTTCAATTACCCATAATATTTGCATTAGAGCACCGAGTGCATCGACAATCGTCACAACAAAAATGATCACCTTTCCCGCTAAAAACTCAGAATCTACAGTGAGATCGTTAACGTACTCGTGCGCATCGAATGCACTAATGATCGACCGATAGGCATAGAGCATCGATTAAAATAAAGCAAATCAAAGAATGAGAGCGCATTGAATTTCAAAAACTTGCCCAAGCGCGCACGATAATGCGCAACGATCAATCACTTATCCGTAGAACGGTGCCTATAACATAATCCAAATCCCCCATACCCCCTCCTCCCACCCCCCACCCCCACAACCCAACCCTACAACCCCACCCCAACAACCCCACCAACCCATACCGTCCATCCGCCCTCTAACGCGGCCCGCGCGCCAGCGCCCCAGTAAACAAAGGAAAAATGAGTTTTCACGGAGTACATTAGCCGACTGGAAAGACGCGGATAGGCTCTGGAGCGCAGGCGCGCGCAACCGATGCCCGACCCCATCCATCCTTCAGGCATCATCTTTCATCCAAGGATTTCTCTATTGAGACGCCCTCACCGGCTGACTCTCTTTATCGCCGATAATGCAATCCGATCGCAGTGAATTGGCATCCTCCAAGTTACACGTATGCGTTGGACGGATCGGCCATACCTCCATAGCCCAGCCCGGTAATTGGCTCGTTGTCGTCGACATCGTATTCGTCGCCACTACCCTAGGGAGATCGATCCAGCCGGAGGCTACGTGGACGTCGCCCGCGAGGATTTCCGCGTGCGCCCCATTATTTACGGGCAATTTCGGAGGCGCCGGCGAAGTCCTCGAGGGAATTAACGGGGGAGGATGGCGCGGATGCGCGATTCTTTATTCAATTAAAAGGAAAAAGAGAAGGGACTCGCGGACGCGGATTTACGCGCGTACTCGAAGCTCCTAATCTTTGCTCGCATCGCTACTGTTATTGGTGGTGCTAGTAACGAGGTGGTGGCGGACCCATAGTATTGGCAATAGTAATAGTAGTAGTAGTAGTAGTAGTAGTAGTAGTAGTATTAGTTGTTGTTGTTGTTGTTGTTGTTGTTGTTGTTGTTGTTGTTGTTGTTGTTGTTGTTGTTGTTGTTATCGTTATTGCTCGTTGTGCTGCTTGCGTCAACGCTTGTGGCCAATGAAGTATCACGCATACAAAAGAGCATTAGTTGATCGTTTCATAATTGGTACAACGTATGAGAGAGACGTTTTGTTTGCTTTGTATCTCCACAGCCGTTCGATATTTTTCCTTTCTCACTCGCTCACTCACTCGCTCCCCCCATCCCCATCCCCCCTCCACCTCCCCCGCCCCCTATGTACCTTTTGTCCTCTTGTCCTCTTCGTTTTTTAATTCTCCATTTCAGTGAGTAAGCTTAATTGGATGTTGTTTATCCTTATTTTTAGTGCTTTTTAGTTTTTCTCGGACATCCATACATATTTAGTAATCTCTCATTTTACCGTGAAAACTTATCTGAATTATTTACTTGGAGGTGTCAAAGCTGCTCCCTTTAAAAAAACAAACAAATATTATTTCATCTTAAAATATCTTGTCTCAATTGTTTTTAAGAATTTGTCGACAAATATCAATTAAGGATGATAATTTGCATTTAATAGACATTACTATCCGTGCCATTTTGAACATTTCATATGTATTTTTATTAATTTTAACATTCAGTCATTAGCCCGTGTAAGACATTGATATTGTAGAGAAAGAGTGGTCACGCGATGACTGCATAGATAAAATATCATTAAAAACTTTTCTATAAATTTTCGTGCATTTAAAATTCAAACTACAATTCCAATTAAAGTTAAATAGTAATTTTTTTCAGCTCTTAATACCAAGTAATAGAGTACAATGTATAAATGCCTTCTGAGACCGTCCAATTAATGAAAAATTCGACAATTAATACAACGAGACGTTAAATCCATAACTCAAGCCAGTCGACTCAGAGCTGGAAGAGTGGCAAAAGAAAACAAAAAAAGTTAAAAACGAAACTAGCGAAAAGAAACAAGAGTTAGTTGAAAAGTTGAGTTGAAGAAAGAGATAATAAAGGAGAGACCCTGGAAGTTTGCTCTCATTTCGTTCTTTGCTCTCACCATTCGTAATTGACCTTCTCTCTACATATATATATATATATATATATATATATTTATATATACAGAGAGAGAGAGAGAGAGAGAGAGAGAGAGAGAGAGGTAGATAAATAAATAGATGCACGTGTACGGTAGTGTGGTTGTGGGTACTGACAGATAGATATTGTTAAATCGTTTACTGTAAAAGCACGTGCAATTTCTGTTTTACAGATGTGTGCAGAACACCAAAATGAACTTTCGGGAGAAGGAGAAGCAGGTGCTGGACCATATCCTCGGCCCCGGCAGCTACGACGCCCGCATAAGACCGAGCGGCGAAAACGGAACAGGTAAATACGCCCGACACTTCACTACCTACACCAAACATTCTCATATATTTAATCATTTGAATTATAATAAACATATACATAGAAACTACGAATATTTTATGCACATGTGTCTAATCATTATCTATTCATCATGCTCAATGCAATGACAAATGAAAGCAGGTGTAGGCTAAGAGCAGAATATCCAGATTACAACGATTATATTAGATGTCTTACGACTTTGTTACAAAATTTATAGGCTAATTGCCACTGTTTTGAGGTTTGTTACTTCCTTTCAATGCAAAATCACTTTTCTAGTCATAATGTACACACATACGTATATATATATATATATATATATATATACATATGATTTGTGTATAGTCTATTGGTAATCGTATGAAACTAGAATCAAAGGACACCGATAATATAGCCTATCTATACGCGCATTACGAAAAGCTCACTGGACTTTAAGCTTTGTGAGTGAATATAGGTCTTAATTAATCCTTATTAACTTCTGTGCACACAACTACGTAAATATCGAGGAATATGAAATTACAGGTCTGATTATGCTGAAAAATGCGATTACAAAGATTTTAAGTTTCGTTATTCTTTCGTGAAAAAAAAAAAGTGCTCTAATAAGATAAGAACTTAACCCGTAAAAACTGATTATAAAAATAATCTGCTGCAAATATTTCGTTCGTGTGATTTATTAATCCGATATAACATGGATTAAAATGTTTAAAACTAAAATAACAATGGCTTTACGTTTGAAAAATTGCAAATTTATGTAAAACATTCTAGAATTAGGATTGTCAAAAGTTTTATTTCCTTAATTACTTCGTAAAATTGGTTACTTCGTATTCATATTAAATGATCGTCTTCCCCATATGTATGCAAATTCACAGAGCACATTTTTAATAATTTTTTTTCCTTTTATCTTTAGTTTTCATTCTTTCTTTCATTTCTTTCTTTCGCTTTTTCTGTCAAATCGTTCTTACGCTACTCGAAATGTAATAATTTTTCATCGAATCTGATATTAACAACAATAATCTTACTCTTTCGTTTATTTTTCGTTTTTTTTTCTCGTTTTTTTTTCTCGTTTTTTTTTTCGTTTTTTTTCTCGTTTTTTTCAGACACTCGGACGATTTTTATTTCAATTCGTGGAATTTTCAGTCCAGAGACTAAGTAGTTTCAAGACAAATTCTTTGGGTGAATGAACTTATAAGATAAGACCTTCCGTTGGCTCGAAAAGATTATTTAAAAAATTCACCTGTAATTTTTTACTTTTTTCTTTACCTCCACATATACATATATAATACATCAAGATAACTGTTAAGAACAACTTGAAAACTAATTACGCTTAAAGCGCAATTTAATTGCTACCGAGGTTCTAAAGTTCTGAATTGGTATTAGTTACGAATTTATAATGCGTATATCACTGGGCAATAAAATACATTCTTTGTATTCCGAAAAATATAAAAACTCGACACTATTAAATTTTACGTCTTATCTTGCATCGATTACCTATATTTACATTACGATTTGATTTGAATGGCATTTTACATAATTGTTATTGTTTACATATAACATGTTATTGTTATGTTCAACAATAGCTGTGTTATCAATTTAACATAATGCAACAGTCAAAAAGAAAACTTCTATTATTCTCATTTGATATTCAAAATTAACCGATTCATGGAATTATATATGAACTTTTATTATCACTATTATTAGTAATTTTATTTAATGGAAGAATCTAAGATTTATTTTCAACTATCTACAATAAATTTGCATTTATTCTGAAATCGATTGCGGTATCGGTAATTGGTAATTAATATTCAATTTGGAGTTATAAAATAATAGAACGAAAAAAAAATGACATATGGCTGCCGCGTAATAGCCTCTACATGGTTAATTACAATATATGCAAATTATAACATTTAATACAATTACATTTATCAATATGTATGCAATTATATACAAGTTTTAATTGTACTTATTATTCAAAATGGACAATTCGTTTAATAGTACGAATTACAATAAACATAAAGCAATGACATTTGTTAGAAGATAAAGTTATCATTCATCGATGAAGAGTATGGAAAATTTAAGAATTCATATATATATATATATATATATATATCAAATACTTTTTTTTTATCTATAAATTCTCGCACAATTATCAATCCACTAATATTACAATTTCATTTAAAAAATCGAGTAATATGTAATTTCATCGTTTTAACAAAGTTTTTCTACATTTTATCCTATAGTTTGACGAATAATCAACTGTTCTGTAAATCTGATGTATGTATAATGGAATTAATATTAATTTACAAGTTACTCGTGAATAATTTATTTATTAATTTAATTAGTAACAAATAACAAAAATTCGTGTAAGAAGAAAAAAAGCAAAATTATGTTAAAAATTATGAAAAGATAGTAATTTTCTTTTTTTAATAAAAATTTAAAATCATTTTTAGTTTTATCTTTTTTATATAATTCATATAGCTATGTTTTAAAAGTTATATTAAACACAAAATATTAATATTTCATAAGAATTTAGTATTCTAATTAAAAGTTCATTAGTTAGCAATCCATGCAATTAACTTATTATTAACAATCTTATTATTATTTTATTTTTGTTTTTTTCTTCAAAATTCTGTTTATTTATTTTACTATGACTTTTACTGATAAATCAATAATGTATATATTTTTAACCTATAATTAAACTTTTTTATAAAAATTTTGTTTAGAACTATTCCGACAAAAAAATGCATTCTTTATTAAAAATATGTTTGAAAATTGTTCTGTTGTAATTAATGGAATTGTCGAGAAAGTCGAAAAATATTACCAATGGCAATTAAAAATTTAATTTGTAAATAAATTATTTATTGTTTCGTACCTGAAAAATAAATAATAATTGAAGAGTAAATAAATTTAGAATCCAATGGTATTGATGAAATCTAGTTGTCATTTTCATTTATTTATTCATTAATTTCTCTCTCTCTTTTTTTTATGAAAATTAACGAAAATAATTCGTGTATTATATAATGCAGACATAAGTGTTTATTATTAGTTTTTTTTTCCCGACTATAATAGCGTTACAGATTCGGCATTTTTAAATTCTATAATTAATTAATTTATTTATTCGTTTATATATTTATGTTACTCGTATGCACGTGATCATATGTTATTGGTAAATATAAATTATAAGAGCTTGTCGTAATTATAATTAAATATTTGAACGCTTAATGATAATCCATAGATAAAGCATAAATATAAATGTTTCGTAATGTTTAACAAAATCGAAGAAGACACGAATAGGTTTGCGCGACTTTATTCGGTTGGCAATCGGAATCGCGGGATTTTCAATTTTTCGCTACGAAATTCGCAACCAACTAAGACTACCAATGCCTATGCACTTCTTTATTCGAATTGTTTTTGTGAATGTGAATCGTAGCGTGAAACCGTATGCCCATGCTACATCACAATATGTGACATTGCATAAAAATTTGTATGTGCTTTGGAAGTGAAAAAAAAAAAAAACCAAGTTTCAAATAGCATTTAGATTAATTCGTATGTGGATTTAAAAATACCAGTGTAGAGACGTATATTTTATTGGATTTTGGCTTATACATAAATACATACATAGTTCAACAACATAATTTAATTTTAGAACTAACACACGGCTTGTGAATTTTCACTTTTTAAATTTTTAGACACTACAACAGCTTGTTAAAACGACATTACATACATACATACATACATACGTACGTACATACATACATATGTGTGTGTGTGTGTGTGTGTGCGTGTGTGTATTAGAAATTCTAAAATTTTTTCAGGCTTTTTTACAATTTTTTAAATTGAAAGCTTACTTTTTTTCTATACACAATTTGTATTTACAAATTTTAAAGCACTTTTCAAAACTTTTGCCGCTACTTTATTTTATTTATATAAGTGTGAAATTGTAGAAAAATATGGAATCTGAAGGGAGAATTGAGAAAAGTTAAGTAATACATTTAATAATACGTGGAAAGTTTCAGCTTAACGGGTGAAATTTGGAGCGCGAGGAAAGTTCTATATTCGAAAAAGAAATTGTAAATCATGCAGATGATCGGTTGTAACTGGTGTTTGAATTATTATTCAGAATAATAATTTCACAGTCATAAATTTATTATTCTTATAGAAGATGATACAATTGTGTAGAAAGGACGTTTAGTTTTATGAACATTGCACTGGCCATTGCATTGCAGCTGAAACTAATTTTCTCGTGCGTATAACGAATAGCCCGAGAAGGCGATTATAAATTATATTGGCTTATCGCGTACCAAATATCTATTCAGAATTTTAGAATTTCCTGCAACAATCAAAATCTTGATATATTAAAAGATTACTGTTATAGGTCTCAATCCCGCTCGAGCGTTGATTTGGATTCGCGTGACATTGGCTCGTAAAAGAGGGGGGGGGGGGGGGGGGGGGGTAGTGGTAGATGGTAGCGAGCAAGAGCTGCTGCATCGGACATTTTCCACGCGTACATCTTCGCTACGTGTGAGAGGCAGTAAAATGAAAATGTCAATGCGTACGCAAAAATACAAAGTAAATCTTATAAAGCCAGAGGCGAGGTGGGAGGAGGGGTCCGCGCGGTGAAAGGGGATAAAAACAGCACAATATCCTCTTCGATCGTCGGTTTCTCGCGAGACGATCGACGTAGCTAAACTCGATTGCGATATTCAGTGTGTGGATGGCCGTAGCCGTGTCTTCGTCGTCGCCTGCGTCGTCGTCGTCGTCGTCTATGTCGTCGTCGTCGCTTTGTATAAAGGAAGTGTCGGCGCAATGCGAAATAAAATAAATGGAATAGAAATGAAATAGAAATAAGACGGAGGAGGTTGCGCACGCACACACGTATATATATATATATATATATATATATATATATATATATATATATATATATATAGAGAGAGAGGGGGGGGAGAGAGCGG